TTTCAATTCAGCTAGCTTGAAGATGTGCTTTTTCTTTCTTTCTCAATCCTCACCTGAAGATATTTTTTCCATTGATTATTTTTAGAGAGAGTGGAAGGGAGGGAGGAGGGGGAGAGAGAGCAAGAGAAACTATGTGAGGGAGACACCTCGATTGGTTGCTTCCTGCATGCATCCCACCCAGGGCCGGGGATGGAACCTGCAACCCTCCATTGTGCAGGCCAATGCTCTAACCTAGCAATGCCAGCTAGGGTAGGATGTACTTTCTTTCGATGGCAGGAGGGGAAGGGAGGAGGGCAGACAGAAGCTGCAACAGTTATTACAGCCAGCATCTACTTTAACTGATTTGACCAGAGTGTGCTGTCCATGTTAGGCCTTAAGTTGACTAAGCATGATCCCCAGATGATTTATGAGGTCTGAAAAGTGAGGTAATTCTGCCTTGATTTATTGGCTTTGAATTCTTGGCAAAGCTAAGGAGTTGGAGAAACATGTGAATGACAGGAGAATGGGAGCCACAAATATGGGTAGCTTTTGAACCTTTGGACTTTGCGCTTATACAGCATTTTGTTTATATGTCACTGGTTATAGTCTCTCCCCTCAACCTTGACTGTGACTACCTCAAGAGCAAAGGTTGGGCTTAGGCACTACCAATGTTTTGTGAAAGAATGATGTCTCTAGCTGCATAATTGATCAGTCTTTAACCTTTGGAAGGATCAACTGAGACCTCTGAAATGTTAGGTTGCCCTGGTGGATGGGGCTCCAGAGTTTAGGTACCTTTGCAGTTAGCAGGTACTTGAAACCAGAGCAAGGAGCTACTCCCTGAGTGGTGGATATTTCTGATGAATGCATATGGTAGTAACTTGGTACACTTTCATTGATTTAATTAGTCACATGCTATTATATCATACTTCACCACACTGAAGGCATTTTGCTTTTACTTCTTTGGTAACTAAGAAAACTGGGAATTTGGAAACCTGACTTCAAAGCTTTGGAGTTAGACAGATTTGGTGTGAAATACTATAACATTTTAGCTTTAAGGGACTTTGAAAATTACCTAGGCCAACCCCCCTCATTTTATATGTGGGGAAACTGAGGCATAGAGAGAAGTACCCTGTTCTTTGGAATAAATCAAATAAATAGCCATGCCAGATTAGGACCTACAACTGTTTCTCTTTACTGAGAAAGGTAGTTGTTGCCTTAAAATCATTTCTTGAGGTGAAAAGTGGGAATGAGATAAAACCCAAGGAATTAAGACATACCACATGTGTTAATTTTCACTGTTCATCCGGCCCAGCATGTTCTGTTGTTGGAAACCTTTTTGGGAAACTGGAGTGTCTACATCTAACAACAAAATAACCTTATTTTTACTCTTTATAACACTGCTATGAGGAATTATTTAATATATATAAATACATGCTATTTACATGTTTATTATCTTGTCTTTTGCATTAGAATGTAAGTTTTAAGTTTTATAAGGAAAGAGACTTTGTTTTATACCTGTCTTGTGATTTAATAAATGAATAAGTGAACGAACAAACAGATATTTATTGGCTGTCATCAAGATGCCAGGCACATGCTTCCCATGACTTTGGTATTTGTAGGTCAATGACATGTCTGTTTCTTTGTTTGGGTTTTGTCATTTATGAATGTATCTAAACCCTTCTTGAACACAGACTACACATTATTGCCAAATAAATTGCCCAATTACTTTATAATGCTTATGAGTAGAGTGAAGTTACCTTTTTGTGTGTGTGTAGATTTAGGCAGTATGAGATTTAGTGTGAACTTAAACCTCATGCTGCTTGATCAGATAGGCCCATTGGAGAAGAGAATCTCAGAAGCCACAGAGCAAAGTGATATACCCAGGGGCCAGCTTCAACCCACACCAGAGCACCACCCAATCAGCTACACAAAGGACACACACAAATGGTAGGCTCACTAGGCACACAGCCCTACGAAAGCAAATCCCACTCCATGAAGGCCCTCCGCACAACTCATCAGCAGTAGTTACGGCCATTCCTCATAGCCAGTTAGCCGGAGGGTCAATCCTACCCACTGACATGCCAACAGCAATCAAAGGTTAATACGGCCAATACAAGGATGATGCTGGGGCCTTTGGGAGGGACTCTGGTACAAGCCAAGGTCAGCTGCTTTCTGTGCTGGGCTTGGAGGCACTTGGGAGAGGCTAGGTTATGAACAGAGGCTGGCTGCCACTAGTGCTAGCAAGAGGTATGGGACATGCTGAACCCAGCTGCTGCTTTTGTGGGGTTTGTGGACCTTTGAGAGATTTTAGGAAAGTCTGTAGTGCTAGTCAAGGAAGGATGCTTGTGTGGACTAATTGTTGGAAGAAGTTCCTGCCTGGTGCATGAGTTGGTTGGCCTGGGGTCTCAGGGAATCACCAGGGTGTGATAAATGGTGTTAGCCAAGTTAATGGGGTGTTCCGACTTGGTGCCTGCCTGCGTCGGCTGCCTGGGTGGGAAGAGGGCTTAACAAAGGAACAATGGTGTCTTCTAGCATTTTTGTCTAGGAGAGAGCTGCCCTGACCCGTACCCCTCCAGTCCTTTCCCTGAAGCTAGTCAGTTCAGTTTCTCCACGTATGTCCCTGGTGCTTTTCAAGCTACTGCCCCAGTTCTGGAGCTCAGAGCAAGTGAGTTTGAGTGAGTGAGTCTGCAGTCCCTTTAAGACCTGCAGTGCCTAGGTTTACAGCAGCCCCTGTCACACCCCTGTCACCCATCTTCCATCCTCCTTGTTTTTGTTGTTGTTATTGATCCTCACCGGAGGATGTTTTTTCCATTGATCTTTAGAGAGAGAGAGAGAGAGAGAGAGAGAGAGAGAGAGAGACATCAACATGAGAGAGACACGTTGATTGGTTGCTTCCTGCATGACCCTGACTGGGGCTTGACCAGAATCAAACCTGCAACCGTTCAGTCTGCAGGCAGCACACTAACCACAGAGCCAAACTAGCCAGGGTCCCTTCTGGATTCTTAATTTGCCACACCATGGGTGTGGAACCTGCCCAAACTGTGTCTCTGCTCTTCCTACCAGTCTGAATGTGTGAAGTAGTAAAAGAGAGGAGAGTGGTTCATTTCATTACCCCAGATGGCTTTGTGAAGTCTTGGGAGGTCCTTCCTCCTTTCCTCCCTTTCCTTCCTTCCTTCTTCCTTCTTCCTTCTTCCTTTTTACTTAGCTGGGACATGTAGAAACTAGAAAGCCCTACCTAAATAGTCATGGCATTTTCAATATATGCACAAGCAGGATGCCTGGTAAATATGTACCGATTCGACTGGGTAGAATGGAGTTCTGTCCATTGTACTTCAAACATTCCACTTAAGGTACTTTTCTGAAGTTATAAGGACAATAGGAAAATGGGTTTTGAACATCATAAGTACCAAAGGAATATTTGCTGATTGATTTATTTGAGTGATCCTTGTCTGGGCCTTGTCTTCTCTACATTAAGGAACATTATAAGAATGTATTGCATGAGTTAATGTGCTGTGACTTGGATACTCTTCTGTATGGCTATAAGGAAGAAGAATACTTGAGCCCTGAACGCAAAGAGTTAAGTATTATTCTAGAGCAGTGGTTTTCAACTGGGGAGCAATTTTTGTCCCCTGGGGGACATTTGACAAGGCCTGTAGACATTTTGCTTGTTGCTGTTGGGATGTTACTGGCATCTAGTGGGTAGAGGCCAGGGATGCTGCTAAGCATCCTCCCTCTCCCCAAAACAAAGAATTTAACCAGACCAACATATCACTAGTACTAAAGTTGAGAAACCCTGCTCTAAAAGGACAAGGCTGACAAACAGAATCAGAACTTTGTGGTTGGAAGGCCATACTGCTAGTTGAAAGCAGAGCCAGTACTAAAGCTTAGTTCACCCTAGCATAATGTTCTTCCTGCTACCTGGGGGCCATTTAGAGTTAAATGGCATTATATGATAGAATATTTTATCTTATTTCACTTTTCTAATCTGATTTTTAGTTTTTGCTCTAGCCATACTCAGTTTGTATGCTTTGTAACTTTATGTTCATGTTACTCCCTTTCCTGGAACATAGTTCTCTCATTTTCTAATCTGGGAAATATTTCACATCTCCTCCAAGAAGTTTTCACAAATCTGTCACACCACAGTTCGGATGAGAAGCCACTTCTTTATTCTTCCATAACTAGTTTTCAACATCTAATAAAGAAATTTTCTGTTTTTGTCCTCACCTGAGGACATTTTTCCATTTTTTGTTCAGATAGAGTGGGAGGGAGAGAGAGAAACATCGACGTGAAAGGGACACATCGAGTGGTTGCCACCCACACGACCAACCAGGGCCGGGGACAAACTGCAACCGAGGTACATGCCCTTAGTGGGAACCGAACCCGGGTCTCTCTGGACCACAGGCCGACGCTCTAACTGCTGAGCCAAACTGGCCAGGGCGAAATTTTCTGTTTTTGTATGTCTGTCTTTCTTACTAGGCTGTGAGAATCTTGGGAGTTAGGTTCATTCTTTTGTCCTCATTGCCTAGCATAGACTTGCAGCATAATGTCAGTCATAGACATGAGCCATGGTTTTTTCTAGAAGGGAGAGATCAGTGGGGAATGGAGTACTGGGGAGGGCTTCATAGAGATTATGACACCTGAAGCTTCCTGTAATTCCTTCACGATATTGATGAATGTGTGAGCAACTTATTTTGGTTAGGGACAGTTCTAAGACAGTAATGGAGCCCTGGCCGGTTTTGCTCAGCGGTTAGAGCGTTGGCCTGTGGTCTGGAGACACCCGGGTTCGGTTCCTGCTAAGGGTACGTACCTTGGTTGCAGTTTGTCCCCGGCCCTGGTTGGGTCGTGCGGGTGGCAACCACTCGATGTGTCCTTTTCACGTCGATGTTTCTCTTTCTCTCTCCCCCTCCCACTCTATCTGAACAAAAAAATGGAAAAATGTCCTCGGGTGAGGATAAAACAACAACAACAACAAAACCAAAACTAAGACAGTAATGGATTTTTCTGATGGTGTCTTTCTACAGGTTGATATGTCACACCTCTCCCCAGAGGAGCAATGGAGGTAAGTGTGACAGTGTGGGCCCTTCAGGCTGGGAACTGTAGAGTAATCCAACTAACAAAGTTGTATATCTACTCTTTTTGCTTCTTTGTCTGTGGGAGGAAGTGACTCATGACTAGTAGGATAGGTCTTTAGGGATTTTTTTTCCCAGTACCTGGGTCACTTCTGGGTAGCTCCTTTGATCCTGAGAAGTAAATACGTAATTGTACCAAACCATCCATCTGGGTTTGAATACTAGTTCTACCATTTCCTAGCTATGTGATCTTGGGCAAGTTACTTATTTATTTTTTTAATATATTTTTTTTCTTTATTGATTTTAGAGAGAAAGGAAGGGAGAGAAAGAGAGAGAAACATCAATCAATTCACTGCCTCCTGCATGCCCCCCACTGGGGATTGGGCCCACAACCTGGGTGTGTGCCCTGACCGGGAATCAAACCGGCAACCTCTTGGTGCATGGGTCAGTGTTCAACCAGTGAGTCATACCAGCCAGGCTGGGCAAGTTATTTAACTTCTTACTGCCTTAGTTTTTTTGTTTGTTTGTAAAATGAGGATCAAAATAGTACCTGTACTTCATAGAGTTTTGTGAGTATTAATATATATGAAATTCTTAGGACAGCGCCTGCCATGTGGTAAGCTTCTAGTGTTACCTACTCTGAAGATGATTATCGTCATTAACATTATTATCACTATTAATGAAACTGGGCATAGGGCTCTGAATGAGAAAATGGGAGATTTCTGATCTAAACTTGATAGTAACTTGCTGTGTAACCAGAGTGAATCAACAAACATCTTATTGTCATGATTTCTAATCAGTAAAGGAGTTTCAGAGTGCTTGCCCTACAATCTTTACAAGGTGGCTGACCACTGAGTCGAAATCAACCAAATAACAATAATGACCAAAAAACCTTCTTTATTAAAACTGTTGATTGTAAAAATATAGAATGGCAAAGATATTAACTCATATGACAAACTCAGATTTTAGATGACTTTAAGCTTAATATGCACCAGTTGTGTACCTCAGCTACTGAAATAATCCAGATAATTTGGAAGATGTTCATAGAAATATGCTATCTGCCTTAAGGTAGGGACAGTGCCATTATGCTCTGCTACACTGAGGCCACACTGGATGTTGTAAATGCTGCATTATAAGGTCTTTAGCTAGCTAATGTCTAGAAGAAGGCAACCAGGATTAATGGTCTTCACCTTATGTTATATAAATAGGGTTTAAAGATCTAGAATGAAAAGGGCCAGGAAAATGGTGATAGGAACAAGATAGTTTTTGGTTTTGTTTTTTAAAAAATAAGACCGTGAGAAATCTTCGAAGGGGTAGCATTGGAAAAGAGGAGTGGATATGTTCTTTATTGTTCCAGAGTATAGGTTTAGATCCAGTGCATTGAAACTGTAGAAAGATAGATTTTGTATCATTATCAGAAACATCTTTAATAATCATTGTATATTGAGAGGTACAGAACCTCCTACCTCTTAAAACGTTGGAGTTTTAGTCCTTCACAAGCACATATGAGTACTTACAATGTGTCAGACACTGCTGGTTCTAGATTAGATTACTTTAAGAGGCATATGTTCTCAAGCCAATGGAAGCATTCCAAACAAAGGATATCAAAAATAATTTTTGCATTGCTTGGGAACTTGAAATAGATGACTTCTCTGGTCTGTTCTAGATCCTTTCTTTCATTGCTGTGCACATCCATTCGGTTATATACTGCCTGAGAACAAGAAACTTATTTCGTAGGTTATTAAAGTATAATCCATCCTTTTAGTTTAGCTTATTCTCACAACAACCCTGTGAGGGAGGTAGAAAAGATATAGACTTCTTTTGACAGATGAAGAAATTATGAGGTAGAGATGTTATTTTTTTTGGCCAAGGCTGCAAAAGTGTGTCCGAACCTTAAAGTTCTGACTCCTAAACCTATTATCTTTTTGTCAGATTCTCTCACCCAGGTTAGTGTTTTATGTAAAATTGCACCCTTAGGTGCTTTGCCTGCCTGGCTGGCTGACATTTGGCTGCCTACCAAGTACCCCCCGCAACATTTTATTATGAAAAATTTCAAACACAGAAAAGATGAAAGAAGTGCACAGTGCATACCCTTATACTCACCACCTAGATTCTGCAGTTAACTTTTTGCTATATTTTCTTTATCATTTATCCATAATTAATTCCACTAGGTTCTTATTGCCCTAGGGAACTCCATGAAGATACCATTTATGTTGTCCTTTCCTTCCCTCCCTAATGCTCCCATACATGGAACATTTGTATAAAAACTCCCGATTACATTTGAATTTTATTTTCTGTCTAAATTCTTCCTCATTCTTCTCCCTTGGCTGACTCTGACCTAGAGTGGTAGGAGTAACTATTCTTTGTTCTTAGAGAAAGCTTTTTGCCTTTATTGACCAGGGAAATAGTTTGCTGCCAATCCTCAGAACAAGAGAATGCCAGCTTTAGATTATATAAGAGTTTCTAGTTGTAGTCTTCTTGAGTCATTGAGGAGGCTGTTTACCTGTGGATCTGATGAGAAAATTACTCTTGAATTAATATAAAGTCAAAACAGTCTAGATTTTTCATAACTAGACTTCAGGATCCCTGGTCCTAACAGAGAGGGTAGGACAGATAAAGCAAAACTTTAACCCTGGATTTAGCACACATTTGCAGTGTTACTTCTTTATTGGTATCATAAATACCATTGACTAAGATTATGAGACTTTATGGCTATAATCTTCTCTTTAGCTTACTTTTTTCTTCCAGTGACAGATTGAAATAAGTCTCAAATGGGCAGTGGCACAGGCTTCTCCTGGGATCTTATTCCTCCTACAGGAAAGGTGTCAGCTGTGTCTGCCATTGGGGGCAGGCAGCAGACCATCCATGTTTAACCCAATAGTTGAGCTTGGTTATTGGGGCCCATAGAGCCCTATTCTATGCCAGAATGCCTATCTTCTTGGGCATGTGTATTTTTAGCCCCTAATTTACATAGTACGATATAGCTGCATAGCACAAGAGTGTGTTTTGAATTGTGGACTAATAGGGTATCCCTGGGAAGCACTGCCCCTTTACTACTGCACTATCCCTGACCTGGCTAACCTCATCTCTTTGGCTTTCAGGGTCGAGCATGCACGCATGCATGCCAAGCACCGTGGTCATGAAGCCATGCACGCCGAAATGGTCCTCATCCTAATTGCTACCTTGGTGGTGGCTCAGTTGCTCCTGGTACAGTGGAAGCAGAGGCATCCTCGCTCCTACAATGTAAGCCATTTGGACTCTCTCTTCCTTGTCTGCCAATAATTAAGAGACCCTTCATAAGTATTCTAGGATCCACCCTAAACCAAGCCACATGTAGGCAGAGAATGGACAATAATAACTTTATGTATGGATGGTGAATTGTGTATGGTGGGTGTCTGTTTAAGGTGCAAGTGATTCAGAGGATGAAAACAAGGATAGAAACTGAGACTACTTTTATGGCCAGAAAAGGTAGGTTCTTCCTTTTAAATATTTTGAGACATATTCATGAATGAGATACTCATTAGGAATTATTGAAATAGAGGGAGAAATGATCACTTGCCTGGGAAGACCAAGTCTCCAATAAATCTTTCAGGTAGGATTTAGATTAATTGTTTTAAAAAGGCAGTAATGGAGGAAATGAGGAATAAAAACACATGAAACATACAGAAAAATACTTCTTAATAACAGGAGTAAATCCTTATCAGCAGTTTATTTATTTATTAAAAAAATTTTTTTGCCCTGGCCAGTTTGGCTCAGCGGTTAGAGCGTCGGCCTACGGTCCGGAGAGTCCCGGGTTCGGTTCCCGCTAAGGGCACGTACCTCGGTTGCAGTTTGTCCCCGGCCCTGGTTGGTCGTGCGGGTGGCAGCCACTCGACATGTCCCTTCACGTCGATGTTTCTCTCTCTCTCTCTCCCTCCCACTCTATCTGTACAAAAAATGGAAAAATATCCTCTGGTGAGGATAAAAAAAAAATTTTTTTTTTTCTTTATTGATTTTAGAGAGATGGGAAGTGAGAGGAAGAGAGAGATAGAAATATCGATGAAGGAGAACATCGATTGACTGCCTCCTGCATACCCCCCACTGGGGACTGGGCCTGAAACCTGGGCTTGTGTCCTGACCAGGAATTGAACCGGTGACCTCTTGCTGCATGGGTCGATGCTCAACCACTGAGCCACACCAGCTGTACTCAGCAGTTACTTTAAATGTAAATGAATTAATATCTATTAAAAGACAGAGATTAGCCCAGCTGGTATAGCTCAGTGTATTGAGCATAGTCCCATGGACTGAGAGGTTCCAGTTCGATTCCTGATCAAGGCAATTGCCTAGGTTGCAGGCTTGATCCCTGGTAGAGGACATGGAGGAAGCAGCCCATTGATGTTTTTGTTTTTCTCTTCCTTCCTCTCTCTGAAAAATTCATAAAAACATATTTAAAACAAAAACAACCCCACACCTGACTTATCTATATACTGTCTATAAGTCTTCCTTTAGATACAAAGATACAGAGATTGAAAGTAAAAGGATGGAAAAAGATATTCCATGTATGCCAACAAATTAGACAACCTAGAAGAAAAATGATATATTCCTAGAAACGTATAATCTTCTAAGACTGAATCATGAAGAAACAGAAAATCTGAATACACTGATTCAGTAAGGAGATTGAATCAGTATTCCAAAATCTCCAAAAAAATAACAGTTCGGGACCAGACTGTTTCACTGGTGAATTCTATCAAACATTACGAGGAGATTTGAATAGCTATCCTTTTCAACCTCTTCTAAAAAATTGAAGAGGAGCCACTGCTTCCAAACTCATTTTATGAGTCCAGCATTACCCTGATACCAAAACCAGAAAGGACACTACAAAAAAATAAAATTATAGGCTAATATCATTGATGAACATAGATACAGAAATCCTCAGCAAAGTGTTAGCAAATCTAATTCAACAACACAGTGAAAAGATCATGTATCGTGATCAGGTGGGATTTATTCTAAGGATGCAGGGATGATCCAGCATCCACAAGTTAATCAGTGTGGTACACCACATTAATAAAGTGAAGGATAAAACCATGTAATCAGCCCTGGCCAGTTTGGCTCAGCTGTTAGAGCGTCGGCCTGCAGTCCAGAGAGATCCCTAGGTTTGGTTCCCGCTAAGGGCACGTACCTCGGTTGTAGTTTTTCCCCGGCCCTGGTAGGGGTTGCGTGGGTGGCAACCAGTCAATGTGTCTCTCGTATCAGTGTTTCTCTCTCTCTCTCTCTCTCTCTCTCTCTCTCTCTCTTTCTTTCCTCCCTCTCTCCTTCCTGCTCAATCTGAAATGCAAAAATGTCCTCAGGTGAGGAAAAAAAACCAACATGTAATCATATCTCAATAAATGCAATAAAAACTTCTGACAAAATTCAACATCTTTGTTGTTGTTAATCCTCATCCGAGGATATTTTCCATTGATTTTTTTTTTTTAGATAGAATGCAAGGGAAGGAGGTAGGGGGAGAGAGAGACACATTCATTGGTTGCCTCCTACACGACCCCAACCAGAGCTGGGGATTGAACCTGCAATCTAGGTATGTGCCCTTGACCAGAAATCGAACCCGTGACCCTTTGGTCCTCAGGCCGACCCTCTGACTGCTGAACCAAACCAGCCAGGGCTCAACATCTATTTATAATATAAACTTTCAACAAAGTGGGTATAGAAAGAAAATACCTAGACAAAATAAAGACCATGTATGACAAACCCATAGCAAACTTTATATCAACAGTGAAAAGATGAAAACTTTTTTTCTATGATCAGGAATAAGACAGGAATGCCCATTCTCGCCACTTTTTTCGATATAGTATTGGAAATCCTAGACACAGCAGTTAGACAAGAAAAATAAATAAAAGGTGGCCGGTTTGGCTTAGCAGTTAAGAGTGTTGGCCCTCGGACCCAAGGGTTGCAGGTTCGATTTTGGTCAAGGGCACCTACCTCGGTTGTAGTTCAGTCCTGGCCCTGGTCGGGGTTGTGTGGGAGGCAGCCAATTGATGTGTCTCTCTCACATCGATTTCTCTCTCTTTCTCTCTCTCTGTCTCCCCCACCCCCACTCTATCTGAAGATAAATGGAAAATATCCTCTGATGAGGATTAAAAAAATAAAAGGCAAATTGGAAAGGAAGAAGTAAAACTGTCATTATTTGCAGATGACGTGATACTATATATAGAAAACCTAATAATCTACTGGGGATTTGAACCACAACCTGGGCATGTGCCCTGACTGGGAATCGAACCTGTGACCTGGTGCATGGGTTGATGCTCAACCACTGAGCCACACTGGCTGGGCATTGTGGATATGATTTAAAAGGTAAGGGAAACAATAAATAAATGGGATTACTTCATACTAAAAAATTTCTGCATGACAAAAGAGACCATCAGTCAAATGGAAAGGCCCCTTAGTGAATGGGAGAAGATCTTTGAAAATCTTAACATCTGATAAGGGTTAATATTTACAATATATAAAGACCTCACAAAACTCGATAACATAAAAACAATCAATTAAGAAATGGGCAAATGATCTAATTAGTCTTGTTTTCCAAAGAAGACATACAGATGGACACATGAAAAGATGTTCAACATCACTAATTATCAGGCAAATGCAAAACAAAACCACGATGAGATATTACTTTATACTTATTACAATGACCATTATAAAAAAAAAACAAGAAATAAGTGTTGGAGAGGATATGGAGAAGAGGGAACCCTATTACACTGTTAATAGGAATGTAAACTGGGTGCAGCCAGCATAGAAAACAGTAAGCAGATTCTTGAAAAAAAGAATAGAATTACAATATCACCTAGCAATTCCACTTCTGGTTATTTATCTGCATTATACAAAAACACTGATTTGAAATGATATATACAGCTCTGTGTTCATTGCAACATTATTAATAATAGCCAAGATATGGAAACAAGGTAAGTGTCCATCCATGGATGAATAGATAAAGAAGATATGGTACATATATACAATGGATACTTAGTCATATAAAAGGTAAAATCTTGCCATTGCGACAACATGAATGGACCTTGAGGGTATTATACTAAATGATATATCAGATGGAGAAAGACAAATACTATATGATTTCACTTATGTGGAATCTAAAAAACAAATAAACAACATACAAAATAAAAATAAAAACTCAGATACAGAGAACAGATTGGTAGTTACCAAAGGGGAAGAGAGTTGAGGGTGGGTAAAATGGTGAATGGGGTCAACTGTAGGATGATGGATTGTAATTAGATTTTTAGTGGTGATCACTTTGTAGATTATACAGATGTTGAAGCATAATGTTGTACACCTGAAACTTATATAATGTTATATACTGATTTTATATCAATAAAAAGAAAAAAATTATTCTCACCCCAAATAAAAGATGATAACCAAAAGAGAGCTGGGTTGGCTCTTAAATATCAGACAAAATAGACTTTAAATTTTAAAAAGTTACAAGAGACAAGTAAGGACATTATTTATTGATAAAAGTTTCAATACAGCAAGAAGATACAACAATTATAAACATATATGTATCTAACAAAGGAGCCCTAAAATGTGTGAAGCAAAATTTGGCAGAATGTAAGGGAGAATAGGCAGTTCTATAGTAATAGTTGGAGACTTCAATACCCCACTTTCAATAATGGATAGAACAACAATATAGAAGTCGGTAGAAGAGAACTTGAACAATACTAAATAATTAGACCTAACATTCTACTCATAGCAGCAGAATGTATCTTAAGTGCACATGGAACATTCTCCAGAACAGACCATGTTATTACCACAAAACGAGTGTAGCCCTGGCTGGTGTGGCTCAGTTGATTGTTGTCCCACACACTAAAAAGTTGCTGGTTCAATTCCCAGTCAGGGCACATGCCTGGGTTGTGGGTTCGATCCCTGGTAGGGGGCATGCGGGAGGCAGACAATCAATGTTTCTCACATTGATGTTTCCCTCTCTTCCACTAAAAATAAGTTTTAAAAAAAGCCTAAATAAATTTTAAAAGATTGAAATCATAGATTCAAGTACTTTCAATTACATGGGAGGTAGTATATAGGATTCTTTTTTTTTATTTTAATTTATCTTTATTGAAAATATTACAGATTTCCCTCCTCTGGATTCTTTTTACAGCTGTTGTCTTAGAAGTTTTTAACCTTTTCAAATATAACAACCCATTTTAACATAAAAAACTTGACAAACACTCACATAATAATAGTTGTATTTTGAAAGAATACAT